TTACCGTCGTGAACACTTCATGCAAAAGATCAACTCACACTTGTTGATCGTCGTGAGGGCCGTATTGATCCGTGATCAATAATGAGCTGAATTCGGACCCCCTCTTTGTGCGGGTCTAACCTGTCACCTGGGTGCTCTGAAAGCAGTTCTGCTCCAGACCCCGGTCTGCCCGGGGATCCGGCGACACAGGCTGTCCGTAACCGCTCGCGGTTCTTCTCTGCGGGCGTAGAGCGGGTTCGAGTTGTCCCGGGTTCGAATTGTTGGGTCTTTAAATTAATCTGCGGTTAAGAACAGAGCCCCATCCTCTTCCCGCTGTCCCCTCAACCCAGCGGCTGCTGGTACGAGCCGGGACACGAGAGAACACGGGACACGGGTGGACACCGACACACGGCGAGAATTCCTCTACAGAACGGAACTGTACGGAACTGAATGGAAGGAATTTCCACTTTTTAATGCTTTCATTCAGCTCTACAGTGTGCGACACTGGAGTGTAGTGTCGCACAGCTAAAACAATAATCGCACCAACAGCCATAAAATATAAACGGACTAAACAATGCGCGTTACCATTACACAATTTGGTCACCGCAGTCCTCTTGTCAAGAGAGAAACAACAGATTCAGTTACTATTGTGTGAGAGTTCCCTAAGGACCGGGCTTACGGACCGGGACGGTCACGTCAACACCCGCCGCAGCACGGACACCTACCGCAGGACCTTCTGGGCAAGGTGTACCAGCAGCCCGGCTCAGGGTCCGGACGACCCACACTCACCTATGTAGAAGTTAGTGGCCGTCCTCATCTGCCTGTGCTTGCTGATGACGTAGATGACCAGGGAATTTCCCACGAGCCCCACCAGCAGGACCAGGGCGTAGAACAAGGGCACGAGCCAGGCGTCGGTCAGGAACGGCGGGGACTCCTCGCCCGTGACGTTGTAGATCCACAGCCTGGTCCCGACGCCTTCGGCACCGGCCCCGGCGAGCAGGCTTCCCCCGGGCTGGGACCGGTGGTCCTCGCTGCCAACGGGGCGGCGGCTGGCGACTTCAGCACCGGCGGCGGTCCACAGCTCAGTGTCGTTGCCGGAGCCCACGTCGATCGCGGGTGGCGTGGAGTTAAAAAATTCCATTTCGTCTTTGCAGGTGTCCCGAGCGCAGCTCCTCAGGAACACACAGGCACCATCCCGGCAAGAGCGAGCGCCGATCAGCGGCTGACCTCGCCGTCCACCTCCCGGCAGCTGGACAGATGTTCAGTGCTCTTCGTCCAGGAGCTGGCGCCGCGCGCTTCTACAACACCCCGAAGAAGAGGGTTTGACCGCAGTTACCGAACTCCCGGGACAGTGACTGCTCATCTCACGGATTCCAGCCGCCCGGCAGCGGAGTGGGTGCGCACGGGAGACTCTTTCAGGAGTAACGCGGTCCCCTCACGTCCGGCCGCCGTCGCCTCTCCTGCGCGCTCGCTGGGCGGCTGTGCAGGGATTCCTGCTATATATAGCGGCCTCGGGCTGGCGGGGGGGAGGAGAAGCCCCCGTCTCTCCTGCGATTGGCTCGCTGCTTTATGAGGGCCCTGCGATGGACTGGCGTCCCGTCCAGGGGGTACCCGGCCTTGCGCCCGCCGCTTGCCGCGATGGGCGCCAGCTGCCCCCCCGGACCCTGTACTGGAAGAAACGGTTAGGAAATGGGAAGACGGGTGGCTCTGTGGTGGGAGCGCGACCGTCTCCACCTCCCGTTTGATGTGGAAAAAAAAAGGCGACACTCACTCCGATCCTCTAGGATCTTATTCTCCAAACTCCTCTTGCTTCCATTATTTGTCCTGGCTCGGACCTTGCAAGAGCCGTGATTAGTGCAGTAGGACCCCGACTTACTCTTTTCTCCGACTGAGACTCGGAGCTGTACCCACTCTCACTCGGGGCGTGCACGGGGCTCCCACGGCGCGCAGGGGCGCGGCGCGCAGCCGGAACTGGGCGCAGCAGCTGTGGGCGCGAGGGCGAGAGGCTCCAGGTCCGAGGAGACTGAGAGGCGTCGCCTTGGCTGTTTTTTTTAATGTGAAAGACATGATGGGGGAACAGACCGAGGATTCAGAGAGGGGGCATGACTGAGACCTTTTCACACCCGGGAGAAATGGGCTCCATTGTACGTCTGCGGAAGTCAAGCTGGTCTCCACAATCAGCCCGTTCTTTCCCCACCCTGAGAGCAGCGTGCAGAGAAGTGATCAGGGGAGAAGCTCAAGCAATTAACCAGCGCCGTTTGATCACCCGGCAGATGTGCTGTAATTGCTTCGAGAGCGCACTCGAGGAGGAAAGGACGGGTGTCTTTATCGTGGCGATAAAACGCTGGTTAGCATTTTAAGTAACATCACACTGAGCAAATTGCAATTTTGCGCTGGTTCTGTGTGACAATGTAGAGGGCGTCTGAAAGGAAGCTCGGAAATACTCGAAGAGAAGGTTTTCTAAAGATGATGATATCTCAGTCCTGTTCAGAGACGGAAAGAGACAGTCCTGAGGAGATGATGAAGGCAGCGATAAGTACCATAAATACTGATACTGTACAGTTTCACAGGGGTGTAGAGATTTCCTTGTAAAACGTCCCGAATGTGTTATTTCATATTAAAGTTCCTCATCTGCAGAAAGACACTGCTCTGTGTGTGTGGTAAGACACTGTGTTCGCTATAACCCCCCCCCTGCGAGTGTGAGAGATATTGTAATTGTGTAATTGTGCGTGTCTACATGTGCGCGAGACTTTTTGTGAGTGTGTGTTTGGATGTCCCTGGGCGTGATTGTCTTTGTCTGTGTGTGTCAGAATTGCTGTATAAACACTCTCCCTCTGCCTAGCCTGCTGCAGTGCCTAACTCTCACATCTCAGGATCAAAAGCGTCATGCTGAGGTTGTGTGTCATCACCTGGAGACTCACATTGGTCTTGAAAGTCTCCCTCTCACACACAAAGTGTAAGTTCAGGACCCTGTGCAGACGGTATAATCCGGACATAAGTGGAGAAGGGCATCAGGGCAAGGCACAGCAGGATTAGGACGGGTTGACAGACAGGGGGCAGTGATCCGGTGATCGGCATGGGGGGCGTGGCGAAAGCAAACAAGTCCAGGGAAGTCCAAAACAAGAAATCCGGGGTGCAGTCCAAAATCCAGGAACCGGGTGATTTCATCCAAGACAGACAAGGTTCAAATCCGTAACGGGATCCAGAACAGGAACAGGGAAGCAGGAAGATAAAACCAGGGTGACGAGGCCCCGGACTCAGATGGTCAGGGCGCCGTGATGAAGCCTATGCCGTGGGGTCTCTCCTGGACCCACTGGTAGGCGGGCTTCTGGGCGTCCATCTTCCAATGCAAAGCCAGGAATGGCGAGAGCACCAGGCTTAAATAATGAGAGACAAGAAGAGGGCAGGTGCACATAATCGCTAAGCCAGCTAAGCTCTGAGCATCAGTGGGCAGTGGGCAGTGAAGCAACCGGCATTTACATAGGATAATTTCTGAAGCCTCCGGTTGACTTGCATCAAGGGTGTTCATGTGAGCCTCTTGAGCGTGGCAGGAGAACCTTGCAGGGAGAGGGCAGGGTTTTACTCTCGGGTTTTCATGGGGGCAGAGGTCAACTGAGCTAATGGAGGGGGGTAAGAGGAAGCTGGGAGGCATGATGAAGTTTCCTGGGGCACACCATGGTAGAAAGTGCAGCATGCCGGTGGCACACTGAAAAGAAGGGCAAATTCATTGTGGAAGAGTGATGCACTCCACATTCAGGGGTACCCCTGCAGAGCCCCCCACCATAAAGAATCTAAAGGGTGGAGTTTGGCATTCCTGCTGGTCTACTTTCCTCAATCCCCCTGAATAACCATCGCTCTTGACAAAAGCCAATTTGCAGGACATTGCTCAATCAAGAGTGTATGGCACTGTCACAAACAGTTGCCTGGCAGAGACAGAGGGGTGTGTGAAAGCAATTAGGGATTAAGAAACCAATCGAGCTCATTTTCTCTATGACGCAGCTGCACAGAAAAGCGAGATTCCGTGACATGAGGACAGAACAGCTGGGAGCTCCTGATTCCTAACGGGGAGCCAGGCCAGAGCAAGTCTGTGACAGTCTCATGTGCTGCACTCTGCTGCCTTCATTTCTGAAAACATCCAGGGTGAAACAATCCAGGACTGATGTCGCAGACGGCTGTGCCTATGTAGTTCTACACAGATGCAAGCACAACGGGAAAGAAAACAGCCTGGAACTTGACACAGCGATGCTGCAGGGCTGCAGTAATTGGACACTTACACACAGAGCAGAGCTGGATGAAATTAATGGCCGGTCCTTATGAAAACAGTGAAGTTACGTAAAATAGCAGGTGCTGTGCAGAGGTGGCCTGAATAACTGAGCACCATCAGTGCAGGCGCAGGCACTCCTCTTCACAATATTAGCTCTGCTGCAGAGAAAGTGTTGTTGCCAAGGAAAGCCCTGATCACAATGTACCCAGTGCGCACCGGAGGACATTATAGACAGCGCTGGCAGAAAGCATTAAGTTTTCCAGTGTAATTACAGAACATTGCATTAGAGTGAGTCTGGAGGAAGGCTGTTAGGAGAAAACAGGCTGAGGGAGTGATGTAAACCTTCTCTCTCTGTGAAAGACCAGAGTCCACACAGTGGGAGACAGAGTCTTCTCTCTGTGAAAGACCAGACCCCACACAATTTCACAATTTTGGAGCTAATTGCCCAAATCCATCCAAATCCATTGTATTCATCCACTACATGTATGAGAAGACATGACATTAGTCTGCAGGTACATCTAAATAAAATCCATCAGGTTTAAATTTGGTACAATTTTACATTACCTGACCGTGCAAGCTCAGTGATACCCCCTACTTCCCCTGCTGGGAATGAGATCTGTACGTCCTGCAGTAATCTGGGGGTAATAGTCTTTTTCATCACTGGCTTTGCCCCTTATCCAGTGCTGCTGCATTTTTATCAAGTGGTGCATGAAGATCCAGGCACAATTTCTGACCTGTGAAAAACAGCAGAATTGCTTTTTCAGCCCTGGCAGACTGTTTTGTTGGGTTATTTTGCTGATGGCTGCAGTTAGGAGCTAAGATATTGTATTATTTCTTGGTCCGTCTCCCCTCTCTTCTGTCTCTGTCATGGGTGTTTCAGGAATTTCCCCGCAGACCTGCCCCGTGAGCAGCGCCTGATTGATTAGGGCCCTCAGCCGCCCCGCCAGCACCATTCCCAATGGTGAGAGGTGAGAGTTTCATTCAGCACAGCAGGAGCCAGGCACTGAAACACTCAATCACACACCTGCTTCCTTCTTTCTGTTTCCTCTGTCAAGAAGAAATCTAGATATTGAATAGGACTACAGCACTGCTGAATAACAGATACTGCACTGCACTGCACAGAATAGATAAATATCACTACAGAATTAAAAACACTTTACGGTACAGAGCTATATACTATAAATGCTGAATTACTGCTACAACACTTTACAGAGCAGACCAATATCACTGCTACAACGCTTTATAGTGCAGACCAATATAACTGCTGAATTACTGCTACAACACTTACAGTGCAGACCAATATCACGGCTGAATTACTGCTGTATTACTGTAAACCAACAGCAGGTGGCGGTCTTTGGCTCAGGGAAGATTGAAAAATGGAGTTGAAGTAATTATTTTAGTGAAGATTGAAAATTGTTGACATGGCATTTGTCTAGTTGAATGTTCCCAGTGCCTGGTGGCATTAATATGGTGATTAGAGAAGATTGAGAAATGCTTAAATTGAATAATCCTGTGGCCGATGATTAATGAAGACAGGGAGTGAAGAATCAGTGAGAAGATATAGTGACTTGTGTGGGTATATAAGTGAAGAACAGCCTAGAATGAAGAGGAACATGCAGACTTCCCCAAGACAGGAATTGTGTGATAGAGCTGACTGACCCCTTCAAATGACAAAAACTGGGGAGACATGCTGGTGGTGTCAGATGTAGTGTGGTGTGTGTCTGTGTTTGTCATACACCCCAATCTTCTTTTTTAGTCTTGTTCAAACACACCTGTTACACGAATGAGAGGGGGCCATGGCTTTGTGGAAATGATGATAAAACTAAAAGCTGATAAACATTAATCAGGTTCCGCATCCACAGCGCATGGCTGCAATGAAGAGGAATAATCAAATTGCACTTCTGTCTATTGCTGGTGGACATTTGGGAAGAGCAGAAAATGTTAGTTTTTGAAATTCTTGCTGTTGTAATTTTGCTGTTGTTGTAATGTAGTGGAGTGTAGCTCCACTACATTCATTTGGATATCAAAAAGTAATTAATGTTAATCCATTAGCTCGATTTCTCTGCTGTAATTAGTCAGAGCTGCGGAGAGCTTCTGGATGGAAATAAATATATATATATATTTTCAGAGTCGCTTTGGGGCAAAAGAAACATTTGTAATTTTGCAGACTAATTG